ATGGAAATTGAAGATATTTCATTAATATAATGCGATAATATTTTTTAAATTTTAAATTTATTTTTTTCTCTTAGTACTCCTAAGGACTATTTACGATAAGCCCAATGATTCTAGCAAAACTGTATACTACTCTTCTATTCCTATAAATAACAATCACCAGACATAATTATACGAAATTATACAGTATCTTAATTTTAACAAAGCTACTACGCATATACTCCGGTGTACTTATTGTATTAAATAATTAAGTTAGTTTCCAGATTTTGGTCGAGTCCACTGGCTGTCAATTGAATTCATTTATCTCATTCATCTAACTCCCTATGTAATTAGCGAAAAAATCTTGCTTTCCACTCGAATTTATGAATTTTAAGGACGGGATATGTTCTCCATGTTAGGGCATTGGATTATACAAAAGCTTTTCGTGTTCATGTGTTCAGAAGAGTCGGCATATTATTTGCTTCTTGGCATATTATATATTCCGTAATAGTTTTTCCATACAAGTTCACCTATTGGGCGCTTACCCTTGAGAGATAAGATCGGGATCGGGATAATACTTCAAACCGTTATTGTGCAGTAAAAGCTAGTATGAAACTGTAGAGTTAATGGGGTTGCAAATAGTTAAAGTTAGGCACTTTAGTTTTCTAATTCCACATAGTTTTGGAGTTGTTGTACTTTTCATATGATTTTATGCTTTCTTTATAGCATTTTTTGCATTGCAAATTCATTCACTTCTTCCAATGCATCATTATGTTTACTAAATATGCACTCAATCATAGTTTGTTATGAATATTGGTTGGATCCTCTGTTGGTTTAAACCCTTTTGATCCCAATTATTTTTTAAAAATTACATTTGTTTGGATTAAAAACTAGAATACATCGGTCGTATCGTCAGGAAAATTGATGAAGGACACAGCCCTAGTGAACAAAGTATGTTATGGCTTAAAAATCTTCAACAGTAGTTCAATCAAAAAACTAACAACAACAAAAGAAATATTAATCATGTTAGCCAACCTTCAAAGCTAATAAGGTACTTAGAAAAAGAATAAAATAATTAATTAATTATTTTTAATATTTAATCAAAGAGGTTGCACTTTTTTCTCAATTTCTTAACGCATCATCTATGGTATATACTTACACTTTCTCCTCTGATAAGTCAAATTAAATTAAGGGACACATATGTTGATATGTTATTATTAATTTTTTACTTTCCACTCTTTATCAAAATTTCTCCTATGTATTATTTGATGATAACTCGATTTTCTGGAGTACGTTAATTTTGAATAAATTTGAACTTGTTCGATTATTTTGTAAATAAATGTCAATAATATTCGCGTTTTCATAAAAGCACGTTCTTCTATAGTTCGACCGATTAATATGCACATAAGATCACATAAACATATAGACAAAAATAATATAAATTTGTAGGTATCTCGATCTATGTGCCGAAAGTGTAAAATCGATGTGGAGCAGCTTTGATATTTGTTTTATTTAATACTATTATTTCACATATCTCGAAAGTGCTAATTACTTTAGCAAATAAATATCATGTGAAAACATTCAAAATTCTGCTTTGTGTTATTGTGGACTACATATTAACTTATAACATTAACTTATAAGCTATAAATACGAATACATACTTACACGTATTTTAAATAATTTTCGATATTAAACGCTAATCGTTTAAATAGACTAGAACTGAGTGTATCCAAAGCAAACATATTTTAAACCGTAGGTGGTCAAATTTTATATAAACAATTTTTAGAAAGTAAATGGGAGACTACCAATGCTGGAAGCTTTTCGAAAGTAATAACATAACAGTGTAACCTTCTTAATAGTTCTTCTTAACAGTACTCTTATCTAAAATCTATGAGTTGTATTCTTCATATCATTATTATTTTTACTATGTCCCACTTAAAAACGAATAAATACTTCGTAAATTTAAAAACTTATAGTCATCTGCAAAGTCAACTCCGTTAAAAATATGCCACAAAAAAACAAAATTACTTCAAAGATTAACATGTATCTGATCACTTTCATAAAATAAAATAAATAAATATATAATAATAAGATATTTCTAACATAAATAACACTAGCCTGTATCTGATTATGTCCTTCATAACTGTTTGATATGTATGAATACGTTTAGACTGGGTCCAGACTTATATAGAAGCTTCCAAAATCATTATACATTTGTTGAAATAAATAACTTCTTAGGATATATCTAATAAGAAAAACATATGACAATATATCTATAAGATTTGCTATTGAAACTAGAAGATTTACCAGTTATTGAGGAGGACAGGCTCGTGCTTCAATGGTATCACAACGGCCATAGACCCCTAGGTGAGTTATAACACATTCTTTGTTCGCTATCGCCATACTACTAAACCTGAATATTTATATATAATTTTAGTTGTCTACTAGAGAAGACTATGAGTTAAAATGATTCCTGCTTACATCATATTACTCGAATTTGATAATTGGGATTGAACACTTCATTATACTTTAGGATGTTGGATCTATATTTAGGTTTTGTAATAAACGTATAACAGTAAATGCTCGAATACAATTACAATTTTATTAAAACAGTTGTGATAAATAAATATAAATTAATATATCATAGCCTCGTTATGTTTATTATATAGCCAAATTAGTGGAGCTCATATGTACATTGCTAATAAGATTTACGACATTAAGTCGTTTATAAATTTATTTCAGATAAGGACTATGTATTCGCTTAAGTACTTTACCTTAAATAAATGAGCCTAAGTACTAATACGATGCGATGATGTGTTCATGTCTATTCATATATACTGAATCATTCATTCAAGAGAATCTGTTTCGGTGACGTCAATCGTTTTCTACTATGAGTTATAACAAACAGTGTTTCAGAATTTCCATTGACTTCCACGAAACCGGGTAATAATTTGTTATCTGTTTTAACTTCGAAAAAGGTAAGTTTGAGTCTTAACTTGTGCTGATTCTCTTCTACTTCAATAGCAAATCTCCCATCCAAATTATTTACTGCGTAACACGAACCAATGTAACTCAGTTCAAACAACTCTTCAGATCGTTAGCGTGATGATATGATTTTTCAAACTTTTTCAATCAATGTATAATCAAATATAATACCCTTTTTACTCAAGACATACAGGAAAGATATACAGATACCAGTATATTCAGGGTAGAGGATAGACGTTGTAACCTATATTGAAGAAAGACCACTTCGAGCCCAAGAATTAAGCCCATTATAATTCCATATTCATGCGGGTAATTTTATTGTTCCAAGAGATATCTCTATTCTGATCCTGAAAACCATTTTGTCACTTCAATGAAGTAATATCTTAATTATATAGCCATTTAATGACATCGCAAAGACGTTTTAAGAATGGTAACCACATAATTATTGTGCGTCGTCTGGCGAATACCCAGCAATGGCAAATTGGGAAAAAAACTGTTATATATGTTCCACACCTTTCTGTTACCCTCAAGTGCAACGATACTCATAAGGGGCAATCCCTAATAAACCCAGCGTACATATTAATGCGACGGTTAGTTTTCGTGTCGCGAACAGACCTTGTCATAATGTATTGTTAGACAAGTATGCTGACTTCATCATCTATGATTCGCCATCTTAAAATATTCTGTAGATATAGCAAGTTTGACCGAAGCTAAAGGAATTCCTACACCTGATATGAATCTTGTGATTGGAAATTTTGTCCCACATTCTGCCAATTCATTGGATTTACAGTGGCCGGCAATGTCTCTATGGCCCAAAACCCAGTGCAGGCTTTTTACGTCCACCTACATTAACATTACTGTTTAATATTAACTGGAACCAAAGTATATATAGATATCCACTTGTAAAATCATATTCATTGTGAAATCAGCAATAACATGCCTCAATCACCTAACTCCACATCATCTTTGAGTTCCTTTAAGAATATACCACTATAGTGCTTCTTTAAAAGATAAGAATATCATTGTATATCTGGTTGACCCAGATGTCCGTATAGGAGTCTATAGCTTTCAATTTAAATAAAAAAACGTAAATTTTTTTTTTTGAAAAATAAATCAATATTTTATTGTTGTCATAAAACGTTCAAAAAAAAATTTGAACACATTTTAAGTTCGTTTTTCTGATACGTTTTAAGTTTGTTTTGGTTCGTCGTGTGATTCTAAAAAAAAGTCCTTCATTTTGACTTTTGTATTACAAATACATATCTTTTTTCATAATTAAGTTTACTTAACAGTTTGTAAAAATAATCGAAATCTATTTCTCTTTTGATTTTTTTACATTTTGAGAAATTATCAAAATTGTTTTAAAACTAGGAACAATCATTTTGTTTTTTTATTATTATAAATGAATTATTAATCACTCGCGATCGGTGATTTTAGAGAAATTGAATTTATTTAGTGCGTGTCCGTGCACGTTTCAAACAAACTCTTACAACTTAAAATTACTCTCTGAAGACTAATTTACTTAAGACTAATTTTAGAAAAATTATAAACTATTTTAAATTATTTTACAAAAAAGTGTAAAATGTATCTTAGGGCTAAGTACTTAGATCTAATAATGTTAATGTTCGTGAAATAGTCAAAATGAATTTTTTCTATAATTTTTTTTTTTTGTATTTTGAACGATTTTTTGGAACTGATGAATTTGATGAGTTTGTCAAATAAATAAAAGAAAAATTATCATTCACATTAAGTCAAATAAGATAATGATATTAAAAATATATATATATATGTAAATGAAAATGTAAAAATGCATATTCTTGCAAATAAGATTATGTGAGATGTTTTGTATTCGTTTAATTATATTTTGTTTCTTTTAAATTTGTTTTGGATTGAATTTATTTTGTGCAAAACTGGAGTGAAATTTTATTAAATAAAAAAAATTCCATACAATTTATACAATTTTTCATAGATTTTTTGCAACGAAAAAAAAAAATTAAATATATAAATACCAATTTTTTAATTAACAAAAAATGCAAATTTAAAATAAAATATTTTCAATTTCGGTTCATAAGAAAAAATATAAAAAAGGGTAAATGAGAACAGCGCGTAATAGTGCAGTAAAATCACAGCAATAAATCAGTACATTTCTCTAAAAATTTCGCTCCATTTTCGTTTTTTAGCAGTTTTCTGTGGTTTTCAATTTAGTTTTAAGTTTTCAATTTTCAGTTTTCAATTTTCAATTTCTTTTAGTGTTGACGAGTTCTGTTAATAGTTTTAAAAAATCTGATGATAGTTCGTATGATGATACGATACATAGTACATAAGAGTCGTGTCAATTAAAATTAGAATTTTTTCTTTGATTTTTTACTACTCAACATTTAAATCATTATTTGATTGATTTTTATATACAAATAATTTAATTTCTTTATATTTGGATAAGAAAAACTGCTTAAACATAAAAGTTGCTCAGGCATACTGAGAGGCTCATTCATACTTATTAAATTCTAGGAAAAATGTGAAGAAACAACATAATCTGTCTCTTTTTCACATCAACACCTATGACTCATGGCGAAATGTCGGTTGAACATAGCTTGAGTTACTCGTGCATATTCTTGTTCATTAAATATTCGCCAACGCATCAACTCTAAAGAAGCCAATGAGTCCTCAAAACTGTCGTGTCCTGTCTTTCCGCCCTGTATATCACGGCCCAGCCATGATTTTGTTAAAAACTTAAGAGAGCGGCGAAATGGAAAACCACTTGGATGTGGAAACGCTACAGATGTGTCAACAATATTTTTGTGCACCATACGTAATGCGCGCAAGTCATTATCCAAACCATGTCCGATGAGTAGAGTGTTGGCATCGAACAGCTTCAACAGATCCCGTTGTACTTCTGGCAGAGTTTTAACGGACTTATTCGAGTATGCGAGATTTTCTTCAGTGATACCAGAAAAGCGTGTATTGTAATCAACAATTTCGGCTTTTGGACGCACGAAGTGCTCGTATACTAGTTGACCATCATAACCAACAACACTAACTTTTGTTAATTCTAAACCACGTCCAGTAAATGACATTTCACAATCGATAGCATAAATTTTGGTTTTGCTATTGGGATCATAGTTGGGACGTGTGTAAACATAGTCAGTATAAGGTCCATTAATGCCAATAACAGCACCTGACCAAACGTGTAACCGATTTCTGGAACATCCTTTGTCTGTGTAATCGCGTCTGCAACATGTGTAAATATGACTAATACCTTCACCACCAACATAAATATTATCAATTTTTCCCCAATGATATACACACTCTTCACAGTTTAAGTATTCGCCTGATTCGGTGACATGAAACTCGCTTTTGCAACGGATGCACTGCTTTTTAAGTGATTGATCGTATTGCGAGAAAATCTGATAAGTGCCATCTGGAGTATAATAAGTTGTCGCAGTATTTGAATCCTCCTCGCAAATTTCGCTGGAATCAGAATCCATAGAGAATGGGCTCGATTCTCCAGAACCTTGGCCTGAATCAGATGAGTTATGTGCATCTATATATTCTTGGTAATGCTTTTCACTATCCAAATAGCTGATATACAAGCCATCATATGAATTTATAACGTTAGAACCTGCCTCATATGGATAGCCATTCTTTTCACCGTCTTTCTTCTTATCGATTGGTTTAGGTAAGATCTTATAAATCTCTGTACAACCACGATGTATGGCGCTTTCAATCGGATAACCATAAACACGCATTAAATTAGAATCAACTACGTAACGTTGGAACTCATCGACTAATTGTTGTTCAGTAATAGCTGGATCCATATGATCTATTTGTGAAGGCTGGAAAGCGAGCACAATTTTCTTGTAATTTTGAGCGTTACGTTTGCTAACAGTTGGTGAAGCAGTTGGCGAATTTGATGCCGAAGATGAAACTGATGATGGTAAAGATCTCGTTGACATAACACTGCAAACCGAGGTATTGGATGGAGAAGTGGTAAGTTTATTAACTGTCACATTATCATTATTATTGTTGTTCTTGTTTTTATTGGCACTTTTGAGTGCAGCAGTTTTAGTGCATTGCTTGCGTAAACTTTGTGCGGATACTATGTTCTTGTTTAAATGATGTTGTTGTTGTTGTTGTTGTTGTGATTGCTTGGGAGCAATGTTACTATCATAATTTGGGCGACGATTTTCTTTTGTTTCCTCTTCAATATCCATGGGTATTTCTTTCTTATAATTTGCTTGAGCGACGGAACCATTATTATTATTATTTCTATTCTTATTTGATTGTTTATTTTTCTGTTGACGCTTTTGGCGAGACTTGGTCTTCTTGTTTGACTTTGAATTTGATTGAAAGTTACCCACTAAATCTTCGTTGCTAGAAAATGTGATATGAACATCATCGCTGCCAGTTGTCTCGCTGGCATCACTGTTGCGATGTTTGGGATTATGACGTGGTGTTGCGTTATCTGAAATATATAAATAACAAAAATTTAGCGAGAGATGTTAAGATAATAAGAATAATAATTTATACTAAAAAAAGTAATAACTTTAATACTATGATCTCTAAGAAAGTGGAAAGTATGTACGCGTAAAATAGTTTTACATTTTATGTCGCCAACAAATACATATATATATATACAGTTGTAGAGCACAAATTCTAGTATATTATTTGACTTAATTGATGGTTTACTTCAAGTTTACTTCCGATTTGTATCTTATCTCAACTTGTTTCAATATTTAGCTAGCTTCACGCACAAACTGCAAATAGAATTCGTTGTGCTTTGGGATGTGTAAACTTACAAGGTTAGTTAGTAGCGGCGGCGATAAGACGAATTATAGTTTCTTATCAGATATTAAAATCAACATTGTACATAAGACTGTACGCGTATATACAATGTGACACGTGTAGTGTGATAGTAGAGCACTTAACTGAAATTTATGTACCCACTAAAGTAAATAATGTTAATAATGAGTTTATTATTTATTTATCAATAATAACAAGTGTTGCAAGTGCTAGAGAGATTTTAATGAGTTTAATATAAACAAACAAGTTAGAATTAAAAAAAAAATTAAGACATAAACCCCAGTCGCAGTTAGTTAGTAAGTCAATCTAAATTACATCTACGATTTATCTTCCGCATTTGTGTGATAAACACATATGGCGATTAATGTATCTAGATACGTGTTATAAGTGAGCAAAAATCTGTGTGCTAACATTGAAAATACTGTGTTTTGATGCTTTTTTTTAAAAACAATATTTTTTTTAGGTTCATAACAACACTATTAATAATAATAACATTATTGATTGACAAGAAAATTAAATATTTATAGAAGTATTTTGTATTTTGTTAATTGTTCAAGGGGTTCTTTGGAGTTAATGAATTTATTTACTTTTTTGTTATGTCCTCTGTTTTATTTACGAGTATTATCTTTGGGCACTCAATTTATAATTATACAGATGTGCAATACTAACTTTTGTATTGCAAGTACTAAAATTTGGTTGATGTTTTTGTAAATTTCTAACAGTGAAGATAATAGTGCTGTGCTACATACATTATTATATTTCTAATCATTTAAACAGTGCTTTGTTTCTGCACTTAAAACATTTTCGTATATATGCAGTGACATACAGCTTATATATTATGCGAAAGTAGTATCTTTATATTTTTATATTATGCGAAAGTAGTATCTTTTTTCAACAACAAATACATATACAAGCATGTCTGTCACATTTAAAAAATGTTTCCTTTAGTTTTTTCTAGTTTAGGTTGTATCTGTTATATCTGCATTTTAATTATATACTGATTAAATTATCACACAGTACTCAGAGATGTCAGAAAAAACTGCCATTAAATAGAATTTAATATAATTTATAGAAAGAAAAAAAATATAAAAGCAACAATTAAAATAATTAATTTGCATAAAAATAGTTTTTTAAGTAAAACGAGAGGAAGTATGTAATTAGTAAGATAGATACTAATAAGATTGGGATGCGAAGAGAAAGACGTTTTCTCCTATTTTTTTTAATTTTATCAGTTTCAAAATGCAATTTTATTAATGTTTAAGAATCCTCAAACTGTGACGTATGTTAAAATACAATATAAATAAAGATTTTATGAAACAATAAAATTTTTGAAAAACATCATTAAAATATAAAATTAGTAATTAACCAATTTATTTTATAAAATTGGATATATAAAAATATATAATTAATTGTTAATTAGATATAAAAACATAAAACTGCTAGTCTACAGTTGTAGATTATAGGTTTTAGGGTAGTAATATAAATAACTTGGAAATTTTTAAATACAAAATACATCAACAGTTTTTTATCTAATCTTTTCAAATCTGTACACCAAAAAAAATTGGGTGTTTTAAGTATGTGAAGAAACGGTGAGAAAAAAAATTACGAAGATTTACAAAAAAAAATCGGCGACTATATAAAGTTCATATATTTAAAACATAAAACAATTTGTATGTAAAATTAAAACTAAAACTCAAAATTGATTTTCTTTCGTATAATTGTAAACAGTTTTTTTAAACAGTGTTTGAACGTGTCTAATTTCGGATCTATTTCTATTTTGCTCTAGAAATTAAATATATATAAAAGTAAGTATATGTACATGTAAAAGCCCAAACTACATTTTTCCCAGTGGTTATATATATATATTGGAAAACGTTGGGACTGTGCACCTTCCAACAAGTGAACCCACTGAAGTGAAGGATTAGCCGAACTAGACCACGAAACGACTTGGGGCCCTTTTTTGTCCTTTGATTCTCGAATGTCGTTATTGAGTTAAAGCTAGAGTGGCTTCCGTTCGCATAACTACATCGTTTGTTAATGGAAGCAGCTTATTTAGCTCCCTTTCTTCTAGATATCTGATGTCTTCCTCAGCAAGAGTTATCTTTTCGAAGTAACTCCCAAGTGGATAGTTATATCATTTCTAAAACTTAACTTTGTAAAGGATCTGGAGTTAAAATACGCATATAAATCTTTTTTTAGATATTTTTCATTGTATATTTTTTTTACACTTTAATTGTTTGCTTTCTTTTTAGATTCTTTATAATCTCTTGAAAACATTTATTGCTGTTTATTTATCTGTTGGTGGCGGTAGTAATAAAATTTATAGGAATTCATACTAAATGTTTTGATATATTTTAAGAGCATTTAAGCTGATTAGATTTGTTTATGTTTAATTTTTTTTAAATTATACTAACAATGTTTTAAGACAAAAACATATATTATAAATGTTTTACAAACTTAAGAAAACACCAATAAAAAGCGATATATAATTTTTTATTAAGAAGACAGCAATGTTTTTATGCAAAAAAAAAAAACTGTTGACATTTCCTCGAAGTGACACTGAAGGACACATAAAATAAATAAATTAAATAAATAAAAATTATAAAAGTAATTTTTGTACTCATTACGCACAAAGTGACGGAATTGTTTGTTTGAGAATTTTTAGTGTTTGATCGAAATTTTGCATAATTTGTTAAAAAATAAAAATTTAAATGGAAATCAGAGGAGAAATGCTGCTGCTGACATTTACGTGCACAAAATTTTAATGACAAATTAACCAAACAAAATATAACTCAACTCAACTCAACTGAACACAACTGTTTTGACATTTTAAAAATTTAAAATTTTTATCTTAAGCACAGCGAATCACAGTAGAGAACTGACAGCGCATTTTGAATACAGGAAGAAGTCGTTGAGATACCAACAAAAGATAGCTTTACTATATATTATGAAATTGGATTTTAATGAACATAATATTTAAGCTTAATTATTTTGATTTTTAATTGCAATTGCAGCAGTTATGATAAAAAAAATAACGTACGACTCTGACTATAAACACAATGGATTTCACTTTTGTTGACAAAAATGGCTACCATTGACCTCGATTATTGAGTTTATATTTTTGTTTGAATTAAAAAAAACGACTTTAAAAAAATTATAAATTTTAACATCTAAGATCATAATAAAGTTTTGTTTGTTTATTTAATTACTCAGACAAATGCTGCATAATAAAAAAACATTAAATTGAACAAAAATCAGAAAATCAGAAAATCAGGCACTCATTGTCACGTACACGCCCCAATGAACGGACAACTCAGCGGCATGCGGGCAGGCACTTTGCCTGCCTGTCGATCCACAAATTATTTAGCGGCTAACTTCTAGAAAAGGAATTGTTAATATGTATAAGCACGTATCGTCGTACTCATAGAGCTTGTATCTATATACAAATGATTGCGATTGTGATTTAAATGAAACTCTATTCAAAAAACACGATCTTAAGGTTAATGACAACTAGAGTGTCGACTGTTCGTTCGACTGTTCTAAGACTGAAGTCACTGATTAGTACTAGTTTTTGCAGGGATAAAGATAAATTAAATGTTTATAGTGAAAATTTGCATAAAGTTTTTTTTTCTTTGTCATTGGTTATATAATATAATTGAAGATTTACATAATAATTACATTAGCTAATACTAATGTGTGGAATATTTTTTCTAGAGTTTTTTCTTTCAACTGAGAAAAAAACAGATATATGAAACGTCAAAGTTCAATGGAAACATTAAACTAAAACGCAATCAACTATAAATCATACGATTGAATAATAATAACTCTGAACATATAAGGAAAAGAAATATGTTTCAAACAAGCTTTGATTCTAAATAGCTATAAAATAAGATACTATAATAATTTAATTATAAGTATAATATAGCTTAAGTTAAAACTTCTATATTTATAAATATAAAATAAGATTAATATAATAATAATAATAATAGTTGTAATAAATTTCATTTTATTATTATTTTGTGTGTATATTTTATGTTAATTTATAGCAACAAAAAATGATTCCTAAACTTTATTTTAAATAATTTATTTTTATACATGTTTTATTTTTAAAATAAATTGTTATTTATAACTTAATTCATTTTCAATACATTTATTTGGAAACGTTCACCAGGAATTGCAAACACTGTCAAGTCATTTTCCTGAAGTGATTTTGACATAAGTTGTCATTTTTTGGCTGACATATTACGTTGAAAATATGTGAAGAATATTAAATATTTTGAACAAAATTTATATAAATGTAGAAATAAGGAGTGAGTAATAAAAAGTTATAAATATTTAACAATAAATATTTATAATATAGTTGATCTTTTGTGCTATAGATAGCTAAAAATAATATAATATACATATATATATTTTCATCGTTATTAAAAAACTTCTAAAGAACTAAAAGCGCTAAGTACATGTCAATTCTAAAAAAAATTATTTTTTTTAAATTCTTAATAATTCCTAAATCCTGTATAGAGCATATTATAGGAAGACTCACTCAATGTAGAACACTTTAAGAGGGAATATCTAATAAACTTCAATAAGTAGAATACAAAATGACTAGGAAAAAAAAAATCTGATATCTGATATCAAGTATATTAGATATTTTCCTTCTCA